TTTTTTTAATCTTATTATAAATTTTAATGTATTGTTAATAAATTATTGCAGATACACACCAAAAAAAGAAATAGACTAGCTCAATCCCATCTCAATGATTTAGTGTTTGTTAAATATAATAGAGTTTTGAGACGCCGATATGATTCCCGTGACACAATTGATCCAATATCTTTGAAGGATATTGATGATAGCAATGAGTGGTTGATTGGGAGAATGGATGCAGACACAGATGAAGATAATGAGCTTGTGTTTGGTGATGATACTTTGACTTGGGGCGAAGTTGCTCGAGCTTCTGGAGTTACGGAAAGTAGCCAACGGACTAGATCAATACCATCTACTAGGGTAACACCAAGGTTTACAAGATCGACGACTGGACTCATAGATGAGGAAGACATAATTTCAGATGAGGCAGAGGAGGAGGATACTGAGGGATATGAATCTAAGGATAATGAAGAAGATGGTTTCTTTAGTGATAATGATTGATTTCTAAGTCCTTGAGATATTTTCTTTAGTTTCTTGAATTGTGTGTCTTTTGTTTTTAAATATTAGCATTTGAGATATTATTAGTGTTTGTATGAATTTAAATGTTTAAGCTATGACTGTTATTAAGATTTGCAATATTATTAGTGTTTGTTTTAATTTAAATGTTTATGGTTTTACTTGCATTTAAATATTTAGTATATATAAAATTAGAATTTTGATGTGTATAAGTAATTACACTAAAATATTTATTTATTTTTTTAACTGCTCGCTTCGCTTTGGTAAATCGTTTCGCTTTGCTTCTCGCCTAGGCGTTAGGAGCCTTGGTCGCTTCGGTTCGCTTAACGCCTTAACACTGAACCGCAGTGATGAACATGACCGAAAAAGCTGATAGCTGTTAATCATGTGATTGTAATGGTTGAGAATTCTTCTATCGAAGGAGTTGTGCAACTACTGAAGAAAAATGTGGTTTCTCCATTGGAAATCGACCATTTCTTCTAAAAAAGAACCCAGTCTTAAATTAAGTAGAGGTTGGATTGCTCTTGTGGACAAAATTGCAGAGTCCTTTACTGAGTTAAACAAACTCTTATCTCATTAATTCCATAGAGCTCTTCTTCTTGTCTCTGTTTTGCATGGAAAAATGTGTAAACAAACTCCCAATGTGTGGAACAAAGTTTGTTTGACCTTGATCGTTTCTTTTAATGTATACTAACTCATTGCAATGTTATCTGTCTAGATTTCAAACTTCCCACTTCTGTAATTTCTCCTATTAAGGAAGGCAGTCAATGAACTTTTTCCATCTCGAACTTCAGAAAGTTTATCGCCTAGTTTGGTCTCCGGTGCTGAGAGGGGTGGGCTGGATACTTTGGCATTGTTTGCACATACCTTCATATTAGAATCCATGACCTCACAGTTGCTAGCCCGATGCTTTTGCAATTGCACCAGCCAACAGTTCCTTTTTTTCCATTCCCGAGCTTTCAATATATGGGATCATAAGAAAGAAAAACTGATCTGAGTTACTTGGGATATTCAATAGCGATTTATTATTTATATGAAGATAGATTGTAGCCATCAACTTGCAGTCTAAGTTGTTTGTTTTTGGATTGATTTTTCCAAGTGAAGCACGACAATTCATTGCTTTAATGGTTGGACAGGATGGGATGGGTTGGATTCTCAATTTTTCCCATTTGCTAGGTTTTTCTAATGGAATGACAAAAAGCCTTGTTTGAGTATGTGCTGCGAATTGTAGTTGGCTAAGCAACTTGTTTCGAAGATATTATTTGATTAATCTTTTAAGCATGAATTTAGGTCCAATTTTACCCTAACCTTGGATTCTCAAATCTGCTCAAGTTTCAACCTCAATTCTCAGCCTGATAACAATGTATTTGGTCCTAAGCTTCCATACTGTTAGTTTTAGCAACCTACTTTTCAGATTGCCAACTTTATGTTACATTACAATCATTTTAGTCTTAAAACGTTCTTACCCCACATGAGCTCTTACCCCACACCAGCTCTTTATTTCTGAAAGGATTTGTATATTAATGTGGCCTTTTATCACCTTCTTCATTTTGTTAGGTCTTCTTTCTGTGGTGTTATTTGCCAAGTTCTCTTCTTGTTAAAGAGTTGTATTTAGTTACTAGGTGAAGGCAAATATTCTTTGATCTGGTTGAGAAAGAAATAAAAATTTGATGCTGTTTTTACTGCTGCAGACACAGAGCAATTCTATACAGAAGTCCAGGAGATTATTCTCGCTAGATACAATAAAACTTTTGACTGGTCTCTTAAGGCAAAAATGATGGGAAAGAAAGCAATAGAATCTGCTCGGGTGTTTGTTGAAGAAACTGGAATTAGTGATTCGATTACCGCTGAGAACTTTCTTGTAGAAAGGGAGGAGATGCTGCAGAACATGTTTCCAACAAGTGAGCTCATGCCAGGTATTATTTACTCAAACCATCTCTCTCTCTCTCTCTCTCTCTTTTTCCAACAAGTGAGCTCATGCACACACAAAAGCTCATCCTTATACAATCTTAAATTCAAACGTGTTTCCTATTGAAGAGGAGGTTATTTCATGTTAGTAAGATTGCGTGTTTGTGTTTTCTCCATGGAAAAATACCAGTATTTTACTCACTGAGATAGTCGGTAATGTAAATAGTGAAGCTGAGCATATTTCAACTACTTTTCCTAACTCATTGTACTACTATCTACTTTATATGTCATTAGTAAGTTGACTACATAGTTTTTCCTAACAACACTGAAAAAACTGAAATAGAAATTTGTAGGATATTAGTAGTTAATAGTTATGGTGACTTGATACAATAGACACTATGATGGAAAAGCTTTTCTGTACTCGTACCAAACAGATTGGTGATGAAGAATGGGGAGACTCTTTATTCGGTTCCTGGCAAGTTTTGCACCTTATCTAGAATGGTCCCCCAAATTCTCTAAAGAAAGATGCCTCATTCAAATTGATGAATTTCATTTCAATTTGATTTCTAAAATTGATTTTCAATTGTTCGTTCTCTACAAAAATGGCCCATTTTTATGGTGGTGACTAATTAGCCAACCACGTATCGGCCTGTTGGATGAAGTTTTGTGTGAATGGTCATTAAGTCACCAAAATTAGTCCATCTCAGTGGCCTTTTTTCAAGTGAAACAATTTTATGGTTTCACAGTGAGGCCATTACTGTACACTTACATTTATATACAGTATATATTTACCCCCCAAAAAAAAGTTGACCCTATTTTTCCCGTTCCATTTCTTCTTTCAAGGGTCATATCTTACTTTATGATTATAGGTTGCATATAATCTCACCGCCTCAACATTGTGATTGGTTTTTGTCTTCCCCTCAATGTGCAACAATTTAATCAATAACTCCTCCCATAGGTCGGTATGGTGAGCACCTTTACATAATCTATGACCTAATAAAATCACAATTCATAATTGTTTCTTTGGTTGCTCTCAGTCAGCAAACTTTGCCCGCATACCTCTTGAAAACTATGATTAAAAAGACAAAGAAGAAAGAAAAGAAAACAAAAAAGAAGAGAGAATAATATTAGCACCCCGAGTATATGCAACAACTTAATTAAAAGAATACACAATAGAGGCCCTGTATATCGTAGGATAACACATATATTAAATAACTAAATTACCCCTAAAACTAAGTATCTCACCTCAAACTCAAGGATGTGACAATAAAAAACATTGAGAGTTTGTCGGGCAAAAAATGAAAGCGCGTTATTGTGGGAGAATGTGTAAAGAAATTCGTCAATTACATAGTAGGTAGAGAGATAGTGCCCAATTGAAGATGATGGCGCACAAAATGGTAGTCAATCTCACTATGCTTTGTTCGTTCATGAAGCATCGAGTTGTGGACAATTTGAATAGTACTTGTGTTATCAGAATACATAGGGGTAGGAATGGATATAAAGATGCCAAGATCAGCAAGAGACCAATGTAACCAGACTATTTTAGCTGTAGTGGATGCCATAATACGATACTTAGTTTCAATAGATGATCGAACAATAATATTTTCTTTCTTGCTTTTCTAGGAAATAAGAGAATCACCAAGAAAGAAATAAAAGCCAGTGGTTGACTTTCAATCCATTGAGTCACCAGTCTAATTAGTATTTGAGTAAGCACTGAGTTTCATAAAGGAGGATAAAAGAAATAATAGGCTCTGATGTAGAGTACTTCGAAGATATTGAACAATACGAAGAGCAGCAGCCCAGTGGATAGTGGTAGATGAGGCAACAAATTGACTAACTACATGAACAACATAAAAGATATATGGGCGAGTAACTATAAGATATACTAGACTTTAAAAAATAGTGCGGTAGAGGAAAGAATCAAGCAAAAGAGGACCATCGGAGGAAGAATAATGATTAGTGAATTCTAAGGGAGTCTTAATTGTCCGATTCAAGGATCAAAATTTCGTTTCAGTGCATTGCTTCGGTCACCTAAGAAATGGAAACATTTCAACTTGTTTCGGAAACGTTTCAACTTGTTTTGAAAATAAAATAAATAAAATAAAAATTTAAGAATTATTTTTTCAAAATATTGGTCAAAATATACTAAAGTATCTTGAAATACCTTGAAATATTTCAAAATAATTGTATAAATGCATTGAAACATTACAAAATACTTCAAAATATTATGAAACACCTTGAAGTATTAAAATTTTGATTCCATCATTGATTAATTTTGATCTCCTTGGAAATAGAAACGTTTCGAATGTTTCGACCGTTTCGGAATAAAATTTTGATCCTTGTTCCGATTATTTGATAAACGAGCTCGCTGAATAACATCTTATGCATATTTAGATTGAGATAGGATATAACCTTTTAGATAGGAAGCAACCCCAATCTCCAAGAAATACCGAAGCTGACACAAGTCTTTCATCTTAAAATAATCTTGCTGCTGATTTTTTAACAACTGTTTGACAACAATGTCATCAACTGTAATAATCATATCATCAACATAAAAAAAGAATAATGGAGCTTGAGGAAGTGGACAACAAAATAGAGCAGAATCATGATCATTTGCGCGAAAACCTAAGTCACAGATGATTGAAAAAAACTTGACAAACGATGCCCTCTGAGCTTGTTTAAATCCGTATAATGCCTTGTGGATCTTGCACACCTGACTAGAACTGAGGTAATCTGGGAAGAGGAGCCATAAAGATTTCTTTAGTTGAATCTTCATTAAAAAAGAAATTTTTTACATCCATCTAAGAGAGATTGCATCGATTAATTGCAGCCACTGCAACCACATTGCGAGTAGTGGTCATTTAGCAACAGGAACAAATGTTTTTGCATAGTATATGCTATACTCTTGGAAAAAAAATTTAGCTACCAATCGGGCTTTTTATCGTTTCCCGAGGGTAATGCCACCAATTCCTGAATGTCAGTCCTATGTATAACAACAAGTTCCTCATCCATAGCCTCTTTTCCAGAAAAGGTCAAGAATAACCTCCTTATAGGATATAGGTTCAGAAAGAGTGTATAGAAGTTGAGAAAAAACAAAAATTAGTAGAATAACAAGAATTAGAGAAACCAATTCGATTTGGACATTTGCGAGGTCGTTGAGGATAATGAGGAACATGATCCACATTGTCCATGGTTCAAAGTCGCGGTATCAGTCACTGACTTAGAGGACACTAAGAAACATCGGTTGCAGCGCGTTGCGGTATCGGCTGATACTCTCAAAACACTAAATAGAAGGCCCAATTCTTTTTTAAAAACAACATGAAAATTACTTAAATATGTAAATGTCATCATCTGTGCATCATATTATCAAAATGCATTATTTAACACATTAAACATAGTTAAAAGGAATTATAAGGACTCAACCGAAATATTTATTTTCTTCTATGTACAATGGAAAATATTTAAGACCATATTGAGCCACAATCATTGACACATTGAAGGACACTGGGCTCGACATTTATCTAATTACAAAAATATTTTGTCTATTTTATTTTATCTAATTACAATTTTTTTCATTATGTGTAATTATTAAACCCACCATTAGACAAAAAAAAATTTAATGAGGTATTAATTTAATAAGTTTAATTCCTAATTACATTATAAAGTAAGTAACAAAAAGAATATAATCAACTAGTGGTTTGGGAAAATTAAAAAGGGCATTAAAATAAAAAGGCAACCATTTGGTGAATTTGGTGATATTTTAAGTGTCGGTTAGTTTTATTTGAGAGAAAAAGAAACATAGAGCGAGGGAGACGACCGGTCCAAATGGAGAGAGAGAGAGAGAGAGAACAGGAGAGCTGCAGAGAAAGATTGCGGTGCCCTCTGGAGTCTGATATTGAGATAGATCGAAGATTTGTTGCTGCGAAGATATAATGGGTCTTTGTTGGCATGGGTTTTCGAGGTCCAAGCTTTCTAGGGATTCTTGTATTGGGTTTCTCAAAGATGAAGAAAATGAGGAGGAATGGTCTGATCTAAAGAAGAGGCTATCTAATTAATAGATAGGTATAACTATTTTCCAATTACTTGATTTTGAAAAATTGGAGAGAACCACGTGGGTTCTATAAATATGATATGTGATGATGCTATTTCTTGTGAATATTTTTTTTTTGTTCTTTGCATTCAAGTTGAGTGTTTTTGTAGATTGTGGATCTTTTATTTTATCTCTTTTGTCCTTTCTTTGACATTTTCACTATTGTCAGAAGTTGCGGTGGAATGATTCTTCGTGAATCGGTTCGACTTGGATCCGATTCGGCCGACTCGAATGAGATGATATCGTGATTAGCTAAGTTGTATGGAGTTGGGCCGATATGGAATTGATTCAAGCGCGAGATACCGTGATTAACCAAGTTGGGCCAATACAGAAGCGATTCAACCGTGACTCGAAATTTTTTCGGAATGGGTATTAGTATCGTTTCGATAGTGGCTGAGACGGATACAACTTGGCCGAGTGATATCGTTCTCGACCGATACCTTGAACCCTGATATTGTTAGAGTGACATTAGAGGAGGAGGACACTACAAGCATAAGTATGTACAATAGGGGGACGGTGATCGACAGAAGAATAAGGAACATCAGAGACAATTATATCATCAATATAGGTGTGAAAAGAACATCAATTGAAAATGGGTTAATGTGAATGAGATCAGATTTATGTAAATATAAAGAACTAAATGGAATAGAAAAGAAGGAAATATGTTCCATGAAAATAACATGATGTAACGATATCTTTTTTGACCCTCATCATAGTCAAGAAAAACACATAAAACTGAACGAGCAAAAAGCTTAGTAGGGCGCTAGGAACAAAACAAGTGCATCCAAACATACATAAGGAGAAATAATCAGATGACTTACACAATTTTTTAAAGGGAGAGATTCTAGATGTGATGATAGTGAAAATGTAATTAATTAAATGAACGGTAGTAAGAATTACTTTCTCCCAAAAAGAACTTGGGACATTTGCCGACAACAAGCGAGGGCTTACTATCTTTATAATATGTCGGTGTTTGCGCTCTACTACATTGTATGTTTTGGTGTGTCAATACTTTGGCAAATAGTGTCATCAGACTTCAACAGATCACAAAAAGGATTGAAAGAATATTCTCCTATTTGGTCACATCGAAAGCATTTGATAACAAAAGAATATTGAGGATGTATCATAGCACGAAATGTAGGGAATATAGAAAAGAATTCAGAACGACGCTTCATTAGATAGACCCAACAATACCTAGGATAGTGATCAATGAAATAAATGTAATATTCAGACCTTTAGTGGAATAGGGGTAGGTCCCCATACATCTGAATAAATTAGATCAAAAGATGTAAGAGTGCTAGTAATACTTTCATTAAAGGGTAAGACAGTGAATTTAGCTAACTTGCATCCACTATAATTGGAAAAATCATGATACTCTAAATTACCCACTTACTAGTAGAGGCTAAAATTTCAAACGTAAATGAGAAACATGACCTAGACGAGAATGCCACAAAGAAAAGTTAGAAAACTGTGGACTCAAATGAAAAGAAGACAAATCAATAAAATTTGGAATATGTAATTCGTTCAATGCATTCAACTATCCCTTTCTACTGCATATCCTAATCTGTTTCATGCAATTACTGTAGGTTTTGGCCAAATATTAATAAATTTCGGCAGCCCATGCTACCTTAGGTAATTACACACCTTTAATATAAACCCATCATTAGGCAAAATCGCGTACGTTATCGTATGAATGGAGCAGTAAGCACTCTAATTTAGTGCTAATGAATTAGAATGAGTCCAAAGTTTGATACAATAACACCAATCATAATGGAATGAGTTTATTTTTGTACTTTGAAGATTAAGTGTTGAGAAATTACCACCAATACAATCAACTGACTTCTGAATCTTCGAAGTTGAAAATTCCTCCTTTGAATAAATGATGTTGTCATAGGATAAGCAGAGATATTCATATTTAGGATTAGAAAAGCTAGAAAGAAAAGTAAGTAGACGATGGAAGAGAGAAAATCACAATCCGTTCAAATAAACAGCTAACACACAGACAAGAGAGAGAGAGAGAGAGAGAGAGAGAGAGAGAGCCATCTTCATCAAAAACTTGGACGTGAAGAAAGAGGAGCTTGAAGCGAGGTGTCAGAGGAAATTTTTTTCACAGTCTACTCAAAAGCCCGTCTACTTCTTATCTAGGTATTTGGATAACCCTTGATCCTTGAATGTTGGCTATCGAGAGTGGGCTCACTAAAACCCTTCTAAATGAGGGATATCATCCATTATCCGGTAATATCACTTCATATGCTAAAATCAAGTCGATAGGTATAGCTTCTTGGCTGGTGAAAGGTTGCTATTCATTCCAGAATTCAACAAGCTACTAAACCTTAAATTAGATCAATTTCGATAGTCATCAAATTAAGGATTGAAGTAATACAAATTCAATACTGCAAATTAGCAAATGGTAATAAGGATAATATATTACTGGAGGGTGATGGTTCCAAGATGTCTTCTTGACTCCACCAGCATTGTTAGTGATAGATTTCTAAGATATATATTTCAATTGGAATAGATTTTTGTGTTTGAGAAATAGTCAAGAATATGAAAAATCAAAGCTATAACTCATACATTAAATATTGGTACATTGAATACATGGTCACTTATGCATTTCTGCTTAACCATTATTTCTAGAAGTTTTAAGAGCCAAAGAAGTAAATTGTTGTAGTTATTAAGTAAATGATAAAATTAACTCAAAAAGATTAAGCAATGGTCAAATAGGAAAACTATTTGTAAAAAGGATTAAATAGACTATATAGAAATATTTGGGGGTAAAATAGGAAAATAAAAGTTTTTCAAGTTAGTGTACTTTTATTAGTAGTATAGATAAGAAATAAGAAGTTAATTAGTGTGTAAGAAAAGTCTGTTCGGGATGCATAGCTCGAGCGCTGATCATCGGACCAATATCTGCCGCCCCTCTTCATGGACTGCTCTAGCGCTAGAGGCGTATTGTTTTTGCCTTTTTTTGCCCAATCCATTTTTCTAACTCCCAAGAGCCCTTGGAGAGTGCAAGAAAGCACTATCCACTAGTTTTCATTCAAAACCAAGGTTCTAAAACAACTCTCTAAGTATTGAGGGGTGGCACCTAAAAAGCATCCACACCATGACTCAATTAAAAACGGGTTTTCGAAAAGTAAAACCTTGAAGTTTCAAAAATATTTTTACATTAAAATCACACAAGTTGTGATTGGATCAAGTACCCACGCTCTAAACCCAATTAAACAACTTAAATTAAACCAAACTAGGATAATTAGGTATCTAGGTCATCTTACCTCACCTAAGTTTTATAGGGTCAAAGAAGTCATCATCACATTGCATTNAGAGAGAGAGAGAGAGAGAGAGAGAGAGAGAGCCATCTTCATCAAAAACTTGGACGTGAAGAAAGAGGAGCTTGAAGCGAGGTGTCAGAGGAAATTTTTTTCACAGTCTACTCAAAAGCCCGTCTACTTCTTATCTAGGTATTTGGATAACCCTTGATCCTTGAATGTTGGCTATCGAGAGTGGGCTCACTAAAACCCTTCTAAATGAGGGATATCATCCATTATCCGGTAATATCACTTCATATGCTAAAATCAAGTCGATAGGTATAGCTTCTTGGCTGGTGAAAGGTTGCTATTCATTCCAGAATTCAACAAGCTACTAAACCTTAAATTAGATCAATTTCGATAGTCATCAAATTAAGGATTGAAGTAATACAAATTCAATACTGCAAATTAGCAAATGGTAATAAGGATAATATATTACTGGAGGGTGATGGTTCCAAGATGTCTTCTTGACTCCACCAGCATTGTTAGTGATAGATTTCTAAGATATATATTTCAATTGGAATAGATTTTTGTGTTTGAGAAATAGTCAAGAATATGAAAAATCAAAGCTATAACTCATACATTAAATATTGGTACATTGAATACATGGTCACTTATGCATTTCTGCTTAACCATTATTTCTAGAAGTTTTAAGAGCCAAAGAAGTAAATTGTTGTAGTTATTAAGTAAATGATAAAATTAACTCAAAAAGATTAAGCAATGGTCAAATAGGAAAACTATTTGTAAAAAGGATTAAATAGACTATATAGAAATATTTGGGGGTAAAATAGGAAAATAAAAGTTTTTCAAGTTAGTGTACTTTTATTAGTAGTATAGATAAGAAATAAGAAGTTAATTAGTGTGTAAGAAAAGTCTGTTCGGGATGCATAGCTCGAGCGCTGATCATCGGACCAATATCTGCCGCCCCTCTTCATGGACTGCTCTAGCGCTAGAGGCGTATTGTTTTTGCCTTTTTTTGCCCAATCCATTTTTCTAACTCCCAAGAGCCCTTGGAGAGTGCAAGAAAGCACTATCCACTAGTTTTCATTCAAAACCAAGGTTCTAAAACAACTCTCTAAGTATTGAGGGGTGGCACCTAAAAAGCATCCACACCATGACTCAATTAAAAACGGGTTTTCGAAAAGTAAAACCTTGAAGTTTCAAAAATATTTTTACATTAAAATCACACAAGTTGTGATTGGATCAAGTACCCACGCTCTAAACCCAATTAAACAACTTAAATTAAACCAAACTAGGATAATTAGGTATCTAGGTCATCTTACCTCACCTAAGTTTTATAGGGTCAAAGAAGTCATCATCACATTGCATTGTAATTTGAGCTTCTTCTATATCATGCTTCGGTCTTTAATCTTCAATACCCATTTGACCATAAATTTAGCTGAGATACAATAATACATAGTGAAATCATGGAATTCACCAATTACAATAAATTTCCTAACAATCAGTTGAATGCAAGTAATTCTAATTTGTTCCTACTTGTTTTCTCCTGTTTTAGGTGCCAGCCGTTTGATCAGACACCTCCATGCAAATGGTATACCAATTTGTGTGGCAACTGGGTATAATATCTTGCATTATTTCTTACTCTGCTCTAAATAGAAAGTTTTTTGAGTACTTACCACTCAAATTTTGGTCAAACTACGAAATATTAAGGATGCCACATGTTGCAACCTTTACTCATCTGAATTCTGAATGTGCCTTACAGTTCACACAAACGGCACTTTGAATTGAAAACAAAAAGACATGTTGAACTTTTTTCATTGATGCACCATGTTGTTCTTGGTGATGATCCAGAAGTTAAACAAGGCAAGCCATCACCAGATATATTCCTTGCAGCAGCCAAAAGATTTGAGGTATTAACTTTCTGATGATTATTCAGCTAGTTGCTCTAGTGGTGACATAAATCCTGGTGGATTAGCATGATGATTTCCTAGTGTTTGTTCACTGCTCTCTCTTACACGCATCATGAATGGCTATGTAACTGGATCATTAAATTTTCTTTTTGGACAGGGTGGACCAGTAGATCCTCATATGATTCTTGTTTTTGAAGATGCACCCTTCGGAGTACTGGCAGCTAAGAATGCTGGGATGTGAGTCCTTTTATTTTGGATTCAGTTTATGTGTATATATTTTGTTCAAAAATTTTAAGTATATATAAATCGTTGACGATAGAGAAACCTTTTTGTTCATCCATTAGTTAAGTTTGTCAAGGTTTGCATATTGACCAATTCAATGGTTTGTTACGCCTCACAAATTTGCAATTCCACACTACTCCACTTTGGTTTCAAATTATCTGTATATCTACAAGCGAGGATATCATTGATGATTGAGCATTATAACAAACCTATTTGCTCATTTTTGCATCATCCAATATAATTAATACCTGGTTGTCCGCTCAGTTCATATGGTATGGCTTGGACTAGCACTTCATTTGTTTGTTGCACTGAGTGTTACTTTCTTGCTTTTATGACTATGGTGTGACTGTGTACTTGCAAATGTTCTGCTTTATCCTTGTTCTGCACTGGCGCTGATCATGTCTAACTTGTATCAAATCTTCCGTATACTTCACTATGCGTTTTATGATGCCCTTAATATTATTGCCCCCAATTTTCCCTCACTCTCTATCTCTTTCTCGATAAATTCCCTTTCAATTCTTGATTTGCCTTACTTCCAATTTTTTGCATAGTTCATCAGTTCGATTATTGAAAGATCTTATTTTCTTTGTTCTCTTTTCCTTACCTTTATACTACTCTAATAGCCTAACAGAGCTTCTTTAAAAACTATGTCTGTGTTTTATTTTTATTTGCTTTTCCCTCTATACGCTGTTTTGTTTTTTAAGATTTATTGTTGCTGAGTGGGGCATTCTTATTTTGTTTTTTCCTGGTGGAGTGAAATACAATATCAGTTTGCAATTAGTAAGCTTAGTGGTGAGCAATTTCACCACATGCAGTTGCAGCTTTGGTAGTGGTAGCTGGGTTACCTAATGCCTCTATGACTCCTAGACTTCAGTTTCCTTATGTGTGTCGGGCATTAATTTTGAGGGAAGTGATTTTACTTGTAACAACAAAAGCATGGAGAGAAGTTTTGAATTCAAACCTTTATCTTTTGGATAATACATTTCTCGGTCATTCTGATAAAAGTTTTGGGATCTTTGCAGCTTAAAATCTCTTTTACCTTAATTTCTTCTTTTTGTTGTCTTCACCGTGAGGTACTCAATGCAGTATGAACTTGGGCAAGTATCGGGTGAGAAGGAAAATGAGTGCTCCCTTTCATGTGGCGTAATTTATCTCAACGTAGTTTTGAGGGCCACACATTGCCCATCGGTGATTCTGCATAAGTGTCCAAATTTCTTTTGTTGTTGGTATTGCATGTGTAGAAGGGCAGATGAGATTGTTGATGATCATTTGCTGCTTCACTGCTATGTTACGGGGAATGTAGCATATACTTTTGGCACTCTTGGTAATATTTAGGTAATGCTGAGGTCACCGAAGCCTTCTTATGTAGGTGGTGGAGAGGAAGTCATGCTAGTGGAAGGATAAAAAGGAAATGTATACTGGTCTTTTATTCTTTGTGTGGAAGTTGTGGCATGAGAGAACTGGGAGTTTGTTTGACAGTCGAGCTTTCCCAACACAAGCTCAAGTTCTCTGTGTTGAGATTACTTTCTCTGGATTAATTAATTCTAGTTGGATCTGTCTGTTTGAGTGTATAGTGCTTTTGGGGAAAGTCCTGTTGAGCCTTGTTTGTATCCACTCCGAAGAGACTCGTGTGTCTGCAGCTTCCACAAATCTAGAAATTTAAGTCGATGATAACGTATCTGACACCAAAAAATCTGCTTATACTTGTTTAACAGACAACTTCTTGAAGATATTGGTTTAAGCATTCCAGACATGTATCCTCCCTAGGTTTACAGTCATGATAATAATCAATTTCCTGTATAATTAAGTTCCGCTTGAACTGTTGTCACTTAATATGGGGTTGGACATAAGGTTTTCTTTGATGTCCTGATTCTTAACAGAACTTGGGATCTCTGCCAGAAGTGTGTAGCATGCAGGAAATTTATGATTGTCAAATTTTATTGTAAATAATGAATCACTAAGTTTTTCTTGGTTGCATCGTATCTTGCAATAGAAATTTTTACATTTCTGATTTACTTGAAAGTTGCACTCTTTGTAAAAACATAGGGCAGGTCAATACACAAGGATCTTGCCATTACGCGGTCTAGGTGGTATCTCTCGTATGCAACCTTACTACCGTGTGTGGAGTGGTTGTTTCCATTACTTGAAACTATGATGCCCAAGCATGACATAAAGTGTTGGTCAATACTGATACGACTCAGTACTTTCCGTTTTGAGACAGAGATATGTTCCGTAGAAGCTACGGTCTCTCTTGACTCATGGTTGATTTAGAGAGACATTACGATACTGGTTTGTGATGTTAGGATATGCCATGAATCTCTCGTCATATCTAATTTTTTCTTTCCAGAATTTTGTATTTATGTCCCATACCGTTTTGTGATGCTGTGCATCCGAAATGTCTTAATGTCTTCCGAGTTCCGAGTAGATTGCCGATATTGCAACTTTGAACTATGCACCCAAGTCACAATAAAACAACTTTACCATCAAGGTCCTTCCTCAATGGTTGGGCATTGATTACTAGTTGAAATTGAAAGCTTGTGTGGGCTATACATTGCAGTACTATTGATTATCAGTTATTATGTTTCATGGAACACTAGTGTTTACATCAGGCTTGGTTACCTTTTTCATGTCAATTTTTTCCTTCCCTTTTCTTGGTTTGACTTGATGCTGTCATACAATGTTTTGTGGAAACTTAAACATTCCCGCATTAACAGTTGAAAACACAGCTGCTCGAAGAGCGTCATATTTCCTAATTTTACAGGCTAATATCTACCATTCATATTGCATTCAGGTCAGTCGTTATGGTTCCAGATCCAAGGCTGGATAGCTCTTTTCATGAAACTGCAGATCAGGTTCTAAGTTCCCTATTGGAATTTAACCCAAATGAGTGGGGTTTGCCTCCATTTGAAAATGCTGCAAGCTAGACTTGTATCTGTCCACATGGTATGTAAACTTGCCGCAGAGAGATTTGTTGATCCTCAGGGAGATTCAAAACAAACGTTGACTGGATTCTTTCTAGAATATCTTCTTTGCATTGTTCTGGTATGTGCAAGTTACATAAGATATTGAAAAATAGCACTTATATCAAATGCCATTTAAACATTATTTTGCTATGAGCCAACCAGGACAATATTTTTGCTGAGAAAGCTCTACAGTTTTTTCCCTTTTATATGTCCTGTATTTTGTGATATTGTTATGTGAATCATCGTACTTTAGATTTGGCCTAACATTGCTTTTACCTTGGAATTATATTTGCTGGAAAACATAGTAGTAGCTTTTCCTGCCTGGACCAAGAATGTTTAGATAGTAGCATCTTACCTCTGATAAGGAAACTAAGGACCATACTTAGATTAGGAAAAACGATAGCAACCGTGACTAGAAGTATGATCTATGGGCATGGATAGATACTCGAAGACAACTTTTAAATCTAATAATGAGTGGTTTTTTTCTGTCCGAAACATAACAAACATGTGGTTTTAGAACAATGTAAAATTAATTCATTTAGTTGAACGGTAATGTGAGAAATTCAATAGTAGAGGGGGTAAAGTGAGATTGAGTTTTTAGTTTAAGGATGGAAAGTGTAATTTGTCCATGTTTTGATGATGCACATTCTCTCAAATTTTTGTTTTCTTCCTTTTTAGTTCCACTCGAATTTGAAAAAATAATGCTCTAACTCAAATGCAAGTATATGAAGGAAAATGCTACATTCATTATTATGTGGGATCGGTCCTAATAATTTTTGGATTGATCGCAAAAATCTCATCAAGTTGTACATAGTCCCAAAATATTGCACAAAAGCTCTTAAAAAATTGTACACGCGTATGGAACGTTTTTTTTGGGGGTACCTTATAATTCTCCATGAAAAGGTGATACAACGTCAATTGTCCCATTTTGCAAGCAATTTTGCACGTGTGATTGCCTTATAATGTAGAGAAGCTCTAGATTTTGAGGAAAATCTATACTATATATATAAAAAATAATCAAACTAAATGGGATGTGGTTTGAGAAGTTTTCCTTATCAATTTCCTTTTTTCTTTAGAATTTTTAATTATCACACATCTCTCATATAATTTACTCATTTACTCCACTACTTTTTTCTTTATTTTTTGAGCAATCGGAACAGCGTTTGAAATTCATTACGTAGAAAAATTTTGATTACAGTCATTCAAAAGAGAAGCCTTAAGTTCGGGGGGGGGGGGGGGANCGGTGTGATCTCTAAGGTGTACGAGGCAATAAGTTAGCTCATAAAGGAGATACCCTTGGTTGGAAAAGGCTTTCTCTATTTATAGGCTCGAAATAGGGTTTGTCATGGAGGCCAAGAAAATACAAATTTGCGAACGACTGTTTGAGCAATGGTAGGGCAGTGGTCACTAGATAAAAAATGAATTCCAAGTCAACCTGGGAGAACAGGACTGCTTCAGTGACTAGAGGACCACTCAAGCGACCTTTGAGGCTGCGTGAGCGACCTAGAGGGTGAGCTTTGCTATTCCTTCATTTAGCCTTTGCCTGATTTTTTCCTGAGTTATGAAGAAATTGCTCTAGTGAAGGTTAGCGAGTATAGGACAGTCTCTATTGGTTTTTTAAGCCTACAACTAATCAAAAAATTTGTCCGCTTAAACAAAAGGGCATTGCTCAAGAAGATTCTGATAATGACTCAAATTTATGTTTTCAAAACACACAAGAGATTTATAAAATATTTTCTTTGAAGAACACCTAGGAGTTATACTCGAATCAATTATCGATTCTATTTTATCGCTAATCCTCCTAAGTTTATTAAACCAAAGAATCATCTTAGGTTTCCATGTCATTACCTTGTCCTAAGGAAGAAGGTGTATACGGAGAACTTTTGATGTAGCTTTGACGCTTGATCTCCTCCCTTCAATGTATGCTTTCGGATTTTCATATTTGTAGCATTATAACCATAATAGGTTGAGGTTTACAAGGACTTCACAAAATTAGTAAATTATAAAAATAATCTTACAACAAAAAATATTGGTGACTGCGAATGGATTTTTACTATACTGAATTTGCTAATTGACCTGAAAAGTGAAACCAACTTGTCAAAATGTGTATGTATCAGAAGGGAAACCTCTGGGATATGAACAGGAAATGAAGCAAAATGAGGGCACATGGGTACATTACTTAAGCAGGGGAAGTATGTTGCGCCACTGTTTTTACTTTAGGTAGTAGAAAATGAATAAAGAACTTGAGCAAAATGGGGGTACATGGTTAACATTACTGAAGCAGGAGAAAAATGTTGCACCACTATTTTTATTTTAGGTAGCAGAAAATGAAATAAGAACATAACCAAATTAAAGCACAAAACAAGAAAAAAAAAAAAGGGGGGGGGGGGGGGGGGGGGGGGGGGGGGTAACCGATCCAATCCAATGGAAGAGAATTGGATAATTGAGCGGCTGTCACCCAATAAGCAACCTTATTGTAGGCTCTAGGCTTGTGTAAAAAGTTAAGATTTTTAATCCTAGCAAAATGTCTAATGTCACTAATAATTACACTTATCTCCCATGACGGATTTACTCCACTACTTAACTATCACTCGTTTAAAGTTTCTTAAAAAATAGTATCTAGTTTAAAATTTTTTAAAATCATAGTTTTACCATCCTAACTTTTTATAATAATTTTATCATCCTAATTTTTTATAAATTTTTATCTAACTTTTTAAATGATACGATGAGAATAGAAAAAAGAAAATGAAGGGGAAGGATGACGGGGTAGGGAAGGGAATATATGGAAATTATGTGCATCGTACAGACCTGTTAATAAATAAATAATTAATTCATAAAATCAGGTAATTATCAATTTTTTCACCCAAAGAATTGTCTGAGAGAAGGGAAATCGGATGTGTGCAGATATCAGAATGGCTTCTGTATTATTTTGGATTACGGTCTTGTTTCCAAAATTATCCCTACATGTTCAAAATAATTGCAAAATGCCACACCACAATTCCTAATATTGAAGCGTTCAGTACATTACTCTTATTTATTTTTTTGAATCGTTACGGCACCTGTGAAAAAATATTTGTATACATTTGTTTGGAACTAAAATATAAAATTATAATAATGTTTGATGCATTGACACTTGGTGAACTGGAGGACATTAAAGAATATGCCACGTGGTAGAATCTGAGAAAATGTAGGAGATAGTCAGCTACAACCTTATTTGCAAGCAGAGTAACTGCCTGGAAATTACAAGTCTGATAATCATCGATTGAGATGAAACTATCGAAGATAGTGACTATAAATGGTAGAGAAGGAGGAAGTTGAAGGACACATTCAAACCCCTATAAGATCCACAATTTGAGCATTGTTAGGAGTCGTGTTAAATTAGTTTTAGGAAGTAGTTACTGTTGTAATCAAGGCTATTAATTCAGTGATTCTGTAACTGAAAACCCTTTGATTGAATTAATAAAGGGATTCTCTTTAATTAGTTCATGATTTTGTGTTTACTGTTTTAAAATTCATCCAAAGAAGTCCTGAAAAAGGCAATTGAACTCATCATTAGCAATTGCCTAAAAACTGTCTGTAAATTAAGTTCCCTATGTCAATAACAACAGATTTTGGAGCAACAATCTTTTGGCATGCACAGTGGGACAACATTCCGAACTTTAATCAAGAAAAATGGTGAGAACAAGAAAACAAGATAAAATCGTGTTTGGGATTGACGAAACTATGGAAATGACGCCAATGAGTGGCAATCATGAAGCAAGTTCGAGTACCAATCCGGTGGAGTCTGCAAATCCTGAGAATGATCAATCCAATGGCCAAAATAGTTTGCAGATGCAAGAGTTTGTGTAAAATTTAAAACAGATATTGCACAATCCCAATTCTGGCATTAGGCAAGAGTTAGTTAATGCGATGCAAGAGTTAATGAGTGTCCAGAAACCAATGTCAGGTTCAATTAACTAGAAATCAAACACTGCAATTAGAAACCTAGTGGTGAAAGAAGGAAATACCGGGTATTCCCCGTAGAAATTCAGAGACCACCACCAACAGTTACCAATGAAAGACTAGTCATATCACACTAAAATCACTTTAACATGGTGTTTGATGGGGGAGCCTATCGAAGTATTCCCAAATTTCTTCCCAAGGCGAAATCCTAGGAGAAGGAATTGGCCGAGAATAACCCCTGAGTTTTCCTAGAAGAGGTCTTGAGAGGCATGCTATGCCTCCAATAGAATCCATAGAGGAACCCAATCTAAGAATAGGGGGGCAACCCATCGATCAAGTTGAGCACATTGAAGGCCACCAGAATATGGCTTCTAACAGAAACCAACTAATATAAATGATTCAAGACCTTTATGGTCCTAGGCTTAGAAAAATAGAGAGGCTAGTGTTTAGAAACTTTTACCCACCATGGATTGATTATAAGGAATTCCCAAGGGGATATAAGATCCCAGAGTTCCATCTCGTCTCTGGTGGAGAGAATCGGTCCACGATAGAACACGTAAGAAAGTTCACTTTCCAATGTAGGGAAGTTGGAAACAATTGAAATTTTAAAATTAAATTATTCCCATAGTCACTAACCAGAGCACCCTTTGTCTGGTTCATAAACTTGCCTAATAATTCAATCCAAATGTGGCAAGAGATGGAAAAGCAATTCCATGCTCAAATCTTTAGAAATGAACCAGAAGTGTCAATGACAGATTTTCCAAGATTAAGACACAGATCGAATGAATCTATAGGACAGTATATCGACAGATTCAAGAAGGCTAGAAACAATGCCATGTTTACTTGCCTGAAGTGGAATTGGTAAAATTGGTTCAAAATGGTTTAGACTTTGAATTAAGAAAGCAATTCAAAGGAATGACGTTCAGAGATCTTTTTGAACTCTTAGCTAGGGCTACTAGATATGAAATGTTGCTTAGGGAAGAGCAGAAGAAAAAGAATAGAACATTAGGGACTTATTTTCAAGACTTCGATGGCGAGGTTGAGATAGATATGGCGCAAATCATAGGGAAGACACCAATCATGTGTGACACCCTAAAAAAGATTGAAGACCCTGTCGATACGCCATCTAGTCATTCTTTTAAAAAAGACGCACCTCTAACCTCTAGGTAGTATTCATTTGACTTATCGATGGCTGATGCTCTTTTTCATGAGATGATCAGCCAAAAGTTCATAACCATGTCTCAGGGACATAATATCCCATAAAAAAAAAGATAGGAAAGAAAAAGAATACTATAAATGCATAATTCATTTAGGCATTCCACCAAAATTGCATCACCTTT